GGATTGAAGGAATTCTCGACGAACAAGGCTGGCGCCAAATACGGCACAGGGTACTGCGACGCCCAGTGCCCACGGGATTTGAAGTTCATCAACGGCGAGGTAAGTCACGCTCGGTTCCAAGAATTGGTTTTCAGCTACTCAGAATGCTGCAGGGAAATGTCGAAGGTTGGCAGCCATCCTCCAACGATGCGAATGCAGGGGTTGGGGGCCATGGTTCGTGCTGCGCAGAGATGGACATCTGGGAAGCGAACGCTGTCAGCACAGCCGTCACCCCACACTCGTGCTCCACAATCGAGCAGTCTCGTTGTGACGGCGACGGTTGCGGAGGTACCTATTCGGCCGACCGTTATGCCGGGGTTTGCGATCCTGACGGCTGTGACTTCAACAGCTACCGCATGGGTGTCAAAGACTTCTATGGCAAGGGCAAGACGGTAGACACTTCAAAGAAGTTCACCGTGGTCACACAATTTGTCGGTACCGGGGACGCTATGGAGATCAAGCGTTTCTATGTCCAGAACGGCAAGACTATTGCGCAGCCTGCATCTACTATTCCTGGCGTAGACGGGAACTCCATCACAACAAAGTTTTGCGACGAACAGAAAGCTGCGTTCCACGATACATACACGTTCAAAGACAAGGGCGGTATGGCGAACATGGCAAAGGCTCTCGCAAACGGCATGGTCCTCGTCATGAGCCTGTGGGATGACCATTACAGCAACATGCTTTGGCTTGACTCTACGTATCCCACAGACAAGAATCCAGACACGGATCTAGGTACCGGCAGGGGAGAATGCGAGACGACGAGCGGTGTGCCGGCAGACATTGAGAGCCAACATGCTGATGCCACTGTTGTCTACAGCAACATCAAGTTCGGGCCACTGAACTCGACCTTCGGTTGAGGGAGTGTAGTGGAGGGAGGGAGCTGCAGCGGAAAAGATGACCTCCAGTTCCCGAGGTCGGGAGAACGGGGGACATGAGAGCGTGGTCTAATACACATGGTTTGTCGCGTACTGAAGCGATAGTTGTTCGCTTGGCAGAAGAATCCAAGGCGCGTCTGCATGCAGCTTGCAATGTAGAGCAAATTCTTCTGTGCACCCCGGCCCCCTTTGATATTTTGTTGAGGGATGACAAATCACGCGACAAGGCCCAAGCGTCATGAGCGCGTCAACTGGTGTCAAAGACGCGCGCTTCTCGTTCTAACTCAGCTGGGCATGGGCGACTTCGTCCAAATGTGAGCGCGCTTTGTCCGACCGTTGAACAATAACACCTACGTTGGTTGCGTCGCGCAGCCGTGCGTAGGTATTCTTCTTGCGTGTTGGCGTTGCCAAAAAACGTAACATGGACCACAGCGTGCGTGGCACCTGCAACCTACAATCTTAACGACACCAAGCATGGCTCAGCAAACCTTCCCAACGTCGCCATACTCGGTATCCATGATTTACGTGGGATCAATGGCCCCGGAGGCGCAACTGAAATATCGCCAACGACACACAACGCCGAACCTTGCCTTAGACATGAACATCTCCAAGACACCGAGGCTGTGCCGCGAAAGACACTCGCTACGCTCAATGTTTGTCTCTAGGTGCGTATTCAGGCTGTATGCAACACTACGCTCGATGTAGTTGCTCAGATAGGGTCATAAGGGGGATTACGCGAAGAGCTGATCCACCGCTGCAACTGTTTCTCTGCCCTTCCTCGCCCTAAAACCCTTCTCATACCACCGGGTACTTTATCTTCTTCCAAATCAGCCAGGGGCGCTCATGTATCGATCAGAGTAGTTCTGAGGAGGGAAGAGAGCCTCTTTCAGATCCTCGACATCCACTCCTTTGTTGCCAAGGTTGCCTGCCGCGAGTGCAGCATCTACGATCAGGTCCCAGTCATCGTGATCTTCTGTGGATGGTTACTAACAGTCTTGACGTATGAGCACAAGAGCCAAGTTTGGAACACGTACCAAATATCACCACCAAGCAGTCCTGCTTGTTCCTATGGCTACAAACCGTCTTCCCACCAGGGATGACACGCATGTGTTGTCGGCAATAGTAGAAGTGGTTGGCACGAAAGCAGGGTATATGGAAAGAGTCTTGAGAGCATTTGACATCGTTGGTCCGCCCTTCTGGAAAAACGAATCCACTGATATGCATTAGCCACTATCACTCATTCATGAGCGCTCGCTCAGAGAGCATCTCACCAAGATCTCAAGGTGCCCTCACGTTTGTGGCGGCGGTGCTCGGACATGATATTCTCCATGACCATAGGAAGATAAGCTGCGTTGTCTTTACTACCAATGACTGGCTGCTGAGGGCGGACTGGGTTCAGTTGGGGAGCAGCGTTTTGTGCGCGTGGTGTAGCATTCGCATCCACCGATTGAACAGAAGATGGGCGACTAGAATAGCTGTTGTGTCTAGAAGAAGCCTCCCCTGATGATAAGAAGCGGGTACGATCATACCTGTCGTTACTCGTGGCGCCACCGGTATGTGCTCGTGGAGGTGTTGTGATGCGACCAGTACCGATAAGAGACTCCGAGAGAGGGAGAGGATTATCTAGGTTGGCAGTCGAACTCGAGTAACCACTGTGACTACTGCCAGGCGGTCCAGGAAAGCGGTTCGTAGCAATTTGGAGCTGATGTAGGAGTTGTCGATGGCGGTTCTCAGCTTGTTGCAGACGCTGGCTTAGCCCGACAATGTGGCCATCGTGTTCTTCGCGGATGCTCTGGATTTCGTCGCCGAGTGCCTGGAGCTGTGCTTGTATTTGGCGAGGGTGCGGTAGCCGCGAGTCCATCTCGTAGGCAGGACGCGCGAGTTGAGCGAGAGAGTGGCTAAAGACGGCTGTAAAGGCTCTACGAGCTGAGTCGACGGTTCAAGGAGCGGGATATATGAGAGCTTTACTTCAGAGGCCACATCCAGAGGTGGGAAATGTCTTGGCCAGGGAAAGTATACGTCATCTATGAGCGGTACGGCTGCTAAAACGAGACAGGCCCGGATTCAATTTCATTACAGTCAAGCATTGATACTATCAGATTAGGGTCGTACGTGATTGGAGTACTGGGAGATCTATACTCGAATGCGAAATTGTTTCCTATTTCCTAGCTACTTATGCTGGTGTAGTTGATCTTGTCTTCGTCGCTGCTTTGGGGGTACCCAGATGGGATTCGCCGCGTTATCATATCGCTTTTCCTATTTGACAACACCGGCAGAGACATTATCCAAATAGCATAGTGACAAAGCGTGCTTTTGGTAGCTACATGAATCTTGCATTGTCTATCTAGTACAGAATGTGGTGGTGTACATGACTACCTGGGTATGATATAAGACGCAATAAAGGCGGAGGAGCCATCAGGAAACTATGGGGCACCTATCGTATACCATACTCGGCTAGAAAGCTAGTAGAGTCGCCCTCCCAGGGCTCACTGCCAGACTCTTGTGTTTCCTCGTTGTGCGCGTCTTCTCTTACGTTCATTGTCACAGTCTCTCTACCGCTCTTCACTGAGCCTGAGTCATGCTCAAAGTACTGTTGAGATGAAACCCGCCGCGGCCTATTCTGGAGGTAGCGTAGTGAGCGTTTGCAACGATTCCAAATGCTTGCTTGGTCTTCAAGGCGGCCGTAAGTGACATACTGGCTAGCGTTAGAGAAACGAATGTTCTAGACCCTATCAAAACACTCAGGACATACCTCAATATTCCCGTCCCGAATTCTGCGAACAACAACAGCGCTTTCCTTCGCTGCTTCTTCGGCCCTGAAAGTCTCTAGTACCGACAGATGGCGCTTTTGCCATGGTGCCCGCCATTTGATATGACGCCAGTGCATGGTCTAGGAAGCAGTATAGACATCAAGTTGCGATCGAATCTGAGTTCTCTCTTCTAAAGGCGAAGGGAAGCTTTCGCATTCGGTGGCTGAATACCAAATTTCACACTGGGACTATGTTAGTTGGCTTCTACAGACTATACTGGATATAGCAGCACGGGTGTCGAGTCCTCTTCGCTAGTGCTAGTGACTACCTAGGTAAACAACACGGACCACAATCTGAATATCATTAACAAATTGTAGTGACAACGAAATCCATCGATATTTTCTCGTGCAACTAGATCGATCATGTCGCCTCTCCCAAAGCAGAACACATATTGAAGGTTCAATGAATGGCGCTACACCTTCACTGGAGCTTTGTGTTTGTCACCACAAACAGTCACAGGCTTGGCTGCTTCCTCTTAGCGAGTTGAGAGCGTGTTTCTAGTGTGTTCGCTTCCCCTTTCGCTTCTGCTCCAGCTCTTTACCATCAAATTGAAGTCGAAACACGCGTTGCAATCACTCTCCGCCATCAGCAACTAGGAAAGCATGTCGGTCCCCCCTCGCATAAATTCTACTTCCCCATCAGCGTCCTCACCGACAATTCCGCGACTGGTGGAGAACCGCAACTATACGCGTTTTGCAGACGTCGGCTTTGGCAACCGGCTGGCCGACGCGCGCAACCTCGTACACACGCGGAGGCCCTCCCTTTCTCTTCGTCCAGAACATACAACCGCTGTAGGTTCGGTTGCATCTGAAGTCGCCAACTCGATTCGGCGGGCTGCCTTGATCCCGCCCGGTGCGCCAAAGCATGGATGGGAGAAGGGATCATACCGGTCACCCTTCGACTATCACATCCCTGGCCATACCGTAGGTGGCAGAGACACGCCTCCTGGTAGATCAAATTCGCATGCCTCTTTTGCGGGGCTGTCTTCGCCTTCGCCTCTTCACAGCATAACGCCACTCTACACTTCGACGCCTCTTGCGACGCCTGCATACGAGATGAAGCCCAGACCTGAATCCGATTCACTGTGCCGTACGGTTACACCTGGTCCTGATGTAAGCTTCAAAGTCCTTTTCTTGCTTGAGTTGCGCGACTGACTGCTTCCAAGGCAAGGGAACGTCTTGTTCTCATTGCCCCCCTCCGCATGATTCGCAGAGCAGGGGTCCATTTTTGTGAGGATGACCGGGAAAAACTGTATTGTTTCATCGACGGTTACATGGCCGACTCGTTACACACTGTTGTCGAACGCGATGGCATCCTTCCCAATATCGTTTACAAGGTCAGCATTCCCATGACAGACGCCGCTTGGGTCAGCTACAACCAAGTTCTCGCTACATTCGGGTTCGCCAATGGTGTGAATGACATGCTCATTGCGGGCTCCGACAATTTCGACAAGTACACATACATGATCGATGATGTGAGCGCAGAACACGAGCAAGGCTGGAAGGTACTAGCGAGTTCAAGTGAGAGGAACCTCGACATGGCAAGACTTTCGCAAGAGCTGGTGCAGATCTGGAAGAATACGTGGATCGAGAATGGATCTGGCTATGTCGGAGTGGCCAAGGATATTGTGCAATAACGTAACCAAAGGTTGTGACAAAAGTAGCAGGATGGATCTACCGGGAAACGCTAGCTCGGAAGCTCCCTGGCGCCTGTGGAATGTTGCTTGCTGCTCAACGATTTGATACAAAGTCTTTACGGTATTCTTACACGGGTTTGCTCGAATGTGAAACTGAGGCGTCTGATTTGAAAACACACAATCTCCTATTTAGACGATGTGCCGTTATCTTACATGAGAGCGCAACGTGCTGGACATTCTGGAATGCATTGTACTGAGACAGTCCAAATGTATGGAATATGTCGAAGTCGTTGGCCCTTCGCAATTATCCGATCATCAAAGGTACTTGCGAATGGCTCAAATCAGGGACGTGAACGATGGTCGTCTGTTGACGTTCAATCTCTGATGTCTTGTAGAGTATCCAGGTCCCTAGGTTCCCTGAAGATGCATGATCAGTAAACTTAACACAACGCTACATCATTGCTGAGGTTGCTGGGCCGTATCTGATATATGTGGAATCGCGCCCAGAAGGCTGTGGTCGTGGCGCTGGCAAGCTTTCGCAAAAGGAAGCAGCGGGTCAAACTGCGGGCGAGAAGCATGAGCAAGCCCGAAGACGCTGTCGTGGGTGCGCTGCGTACGCTGCCTGCGCAGGTGCAACGTTGGTACGAGTGCAGCAAACATCTTGTCCAATCCAGAACTAGCAACGTGCCTTTTTCGACCGGTGCAAACTACCTCGGTACTGTTGCCAGTCATTCCAAGTTATACGTTGAGCATACACTCGTTAGCCCATATGTCCCATCGCTTCCAAGGTTCGGTCGCAGTATTGTGCCGACTGGATGCGGCATGCTTTCCCCTTCCAGTAGTATCTGCGCTTCGGAGGGCGGCCTATTCCATTGCTACCGAGGCCAGTGTGTATCCATGTTGAAAGAGCCACGGACATCGGGTGATTGCCAATCCAGGCGATGCATACCTAGGCAGCGTCGTGTGCAGAGTTTACAGTATAGTACGTGCAGTACACGGGTAACGTTCGATCAAGCATAGCTTCCGGGACTAAAGCTTCCCCATAACTCGTCTATTACCCTTGTCCCGGTAGTCATACGCCACCAGAATTATTGAAACAGTCATGTCTGCTCGTGACACTATGTAGCGCAGTGCCCCTTTTCCGTCAATGAGCGACGAGCCTTTCGCGGTCGACCCAGTTGGCAGATTGTCAGGAACTTGCGGGAGGATCTGCTGATGCGCCTATAAATTCCAGGCACTCTGCATAGACAATTGCTCTGGCTGGCATCTGAGACTTGATCTTACAATACCGCCATGCGACTTCTCAGACTCGTAGGCTTTGGCCTGTCCGGCTTGATCGTAAATGCGACGCTCCAGATTGTACCTGGCGCGACTTGGACAGCAGTGCGTTTCGTCGTACCCATGAGCAAATGGCAACTGACATTACACCAGACCAACACAGGCCAGCACATTCAGGCTCACGGCGCCGGCATCATCAAAGATGGCGAAAAGTGGTATTGGTAAATAGCTCTACGCGCAAGGGCAGCCTCTACCGGTGCTGATGCGCCCGCAGGATTGGCGAAGATAAAACAAACGGAACCGCTTTCACAAACATCAACTGCTATTCGTCTACGAACCTTGTCGAATGGTCTTATGAAGGCGCTCTAATCTCGCGGACTGCATCTGGCGACACAGGGCCCGATCGTGTTATTGAGAGACCAAAAGTTATGCACAACAAGCGAACGGGTAAGTATGTCCTGTGGGCTCACATTGACAGCGCCGACTATGGTGAGGCGAAGATTGGGGTCGCAATAGGCGACAGCGTTTGCGGAAAGTATTCGTATCTACGCAGCGAGCGACCACTGGGCTTCGAGAGTAGAGATTCTGGCGTGTTTGTCGATGACGACGGCAAGGGCTATCTACTGACCGAAGACGTATGACTGCCTCGTAGCACAGTAGGAACCTGTTTCTGACGAAGCCAGCGCCGCAACGGCCTACGCATCAACGCACTGTCTGATGATTATCTCAGCGTTTCCAGCAATGTCTACGTCTGGAAAGAAAGATACGAGTCTCCGGCCATGATCAAACACGAAGGCGTTTACTTCATGTTCGCCTCGCAGCTTACGGGGTGGAGCCCGAATGACAACTACTACAGCACGTCGACGTCTCTCTCGGGTCCATGGTCGTCGTGGCAAAAGTTCGCCGACTCTGGGTCCAACACGTACGCTTCTCAAACAAGCTTTGTACTGTCTGTGGGGGATGGGTACGTGTACATGGGGGACCGATGGCACAGTGAAAATCTGATGAGAAGCACATACGTATGGTTACCGGTTGAGATATCTGGAACGACGGCTAGCATGAAGAACGCTGTCAACTGGATCCTGAACCCCGGTACTGGAGCCAGCAGGGCCGGGCCCAAAGAGAACATGTACGAAGGCGAGACGGCAGAGCTTGCTAACGGAGCTACATCTCAAGCATGCTCCTCGTGCTCGGGCTCGAAGGCAATTGGGTACATTGGCGGCGTGCCCTCGGGGTCCGCCACGTTTTCCAAGGTGGAATCTTCAGCAACGACGCGCACGACTGTAAGGATCAAGCATCTCAACGGCGACAAGCAGCAAAGGTATGCAGCCATCAGCGTGAATGGGAAATCGCAGAGGGCGGCGTTCTTGCCAGACGGGGGAGGAGGCCCGGCAAGTTCAGTGGTGCATGTCAACGTGGAGCAGGGCGTCAACGAAGTCAAGGTTGGCGGGGTGGATGAGGGCTGGGGGCCGGACATTGACAGGGTGTTTGTTCCCGTGGAGTGAGGATGGGCTGATAGACTAGCAATGTATGGTGTTCAGTCCATCGACTTGCTCATGATGGCGTATTCGGCGGGGATGACCCTGTTTCTCGTGATCCTGTCGTCGGGGCTGCACTCGTCCCTGGTGTAGCCCAGGCTGTGGTACATGCTCTTTGCGCGCGTGTTTGCGGTGAAGACGGTCAGCATCGTCTTGGGGATGTGACATGCGCGCGCCACACTCTCGACGAACTGGACGAGGCGGGACCCGAGGCCCTGTCCTCGCAGGCGCTCGTGGAGATGGATCTCGTAGATGTAGAGGACGGGGCGGTCGTGGTGCGGGGGGTCGTCGTGGGTGAACATGAAGGAGGTGAAGCCGAGGATGGCGTCCGGGCCGCCCTGGGCCGGGCGCAGCAGCAGATACATCATGTCGGCGTCGAGCATCTCGTCGCGCTTCCTGCGCGGGTCCCAGCCCATGGCCGAAGCCGCGTAGTCGTGGCCCGACGTGGCGTGGACGAGGCCGAGGCAGGCGTCGAGCTCGCCCGGGCGGAGGTCGAGAGCGGAGGGGACCCAGTGGAACGCGACGGGGCAGGGTCGCTGGGGCGCCTCGTAGGCACTGAGGGCGGCGTCCTGGCGCAGCAGCGTCTGCACCGTCTGCATGCGCGCGAGGGCCTGGGGCGAGTGCATGGTGGTGAGGTGAGGTGACGATTCCGCCGCCCGCCGCCCGCCAACCGCCCACCGCCCACCGCCCACCGCCAACCTTGGGCACTGGGACGCGCCCTCGACACATCGCACCGCCATGCTGCGCGCCTACGCGACCGTCGCCTCCAAGCCGCCCTCCCGCCTGCGCGCACGAGGAAAAGCTCCCGTGGGGCTGGACCACGTACCTGTCCCACGACGCATCCGGCCCGGCGCCACGCCCGCTGACGGTCCTGCAGTTCATCCAGCGCCAGCGCGCCCTGGCCCTGTGGCGAGACATTGTCCGCAGCACCGCCAGCATCCCCGACGCAGGCGCACGACGAGACATGCGCCGCTTTGCACGCTCCGAGTTCGACCAACACCGCTCCGTCACTGACCTGGGCCACATTCGATATCTGATTTCAGTCCGCCGCCCCAGAACCCCCGCAGCGTGCCCTGGCCCTTTGCTGACGCCTACCCAGCATGGAAAGACACAGTTCCAGACCATCAAAGGCACCCTCATCAACGCTGGCCTACTCTCCGAATAGCCTCTGTTCAGACACTGCTGCCCCGAATTCCCAACCCCGTCCTGGCCATGGATGCCCCGGTCGAGCAACAGTCCGTCTGCGTCGTCGGCGCTGGGCCCGCGGGTCTGGCGGCTGCACACATCTGCAGACAGCACGGCTTCGCAGTCACCGTCTACGAGGCCGCAGACCGTGTAGGCGGCATGTGGAGACATGACCGCGGGGAATTTGGCGACAAGTGCAGTCCGGAGATGCGCACCAACCTGAGCAGATACACTGTTGCCTTTTCTGATCTGGCTTGGACATCGGTACATGTAGATATCTCGAACCCTGCTGCCGATCCACTAGCTGTTCCGCCTGTCTTTCCCAAAGCGTGGCAGGTAGAATCCGTGTACAGCATGCTGTGAGACAGTTACTGACTTCGTACATGCATCTTTAGGCACGTGGGCCGCTATCTTGCGGCGTATTCAGAAACCCTTGGCTTAACTGACGACATACTCCTCGAGCACCGAGTTGTCAGCGCATCACTGCAAGAAGATCATACTTGGAGAGTGGTCAGTGCCGACGGCACCCGTCAGCTAACATGCCGTACCTTTGATCGACTCGTCGTCGCCAGCGGCTTCTTTAACAAGCCAGCCCACACCTTCAATCCCGTTCCCTCCCACCCTCTCTCAAACATCCAACACTCCTCACGATTTCGGACTCTCTCTGCCCTGACGGAAACCCCCGGCAAGATAGTCGTGATTGGAGGCGGCATCAGCGGCTCAGAGGCTGCTTCTCAGGCTGCTTCTCAGATCTCCAACGCAAAGCACTCGCCTGGTGGAATAACACCCTCCCACGCCGACAGCAGGGTTTTCCACGTCATCAATCGTCCCTTCTACTGCCTGCCCCGCTACCTTCCACAAGACCCTCAGACCCACGACGGGCATTTCCAGCCAGCACCCAGATTCCTTCCCCTTGATCTGATTCTCTACAACCTGTCCCGTCGCGGCCATGGTGACATCTCTGCAGCTATCAGCACCGTTCCACCAGAAAAAGCAAAG